ATATATATATATATAATTTTTTTTTGCAGCTGCTCCATATGCCCTACCCTAGCCACCTCACCAACAGCTGGTAGCTTACTGTTTCTTCAAGAAGAAAGTAGACTTTAATGCTGTAAATTTGAGCTGTAGAGCTAAGACTTGCTTACTGGTGAGCTATGAAACCTGTTGCTTTTTTCCCAGAGTCTGATAGCAGTGACTGTGGTCCAGGGAGCTTTCCTCCTACCACCAGTGTAGGCAGCAGGTATGGTTCTGGCCCCACCCCATCCCACTGTGCTCCTTTGAAGCCAATGTGCCTCCCTCGCCTCCATGCCAGAGGGATGATGCAGGGGAGAACATAGAAATGCTTGGCCCTAGAGTTGAGCCACTAGGTTAGGATGGTGCAAATGACACAGTGTTGAAGATGTTTTAAGCACTACCAGCCAAATTCAGAAACTCTGTTCACAGTTATCCTACCAGCATCATGAGGCTAACTGTAAAGCGTGGGGCCCAGAATGAGAGCAAAGAAAGGGGGCAGCAGCTTTCCCTTGGGCAGTACACTGGCGTGAAGGCAAAGTGGGGTCAAGTGATAGCCAATTGCAACTCTGATGAGGGAGGTGAGCGGGGAGTGTTGATTTTCTGGTGGTAACCAAGTGATATGTTGGTGGGAATGATGCTCAGCCCTCCCTCTCTCCCTCCCTCCCTCCCTTCCAGGGAAAAAGAGCAAAGATTCAAAGTAAGCATGACACTAGTTGGTTTACCAGTGTTCCTTCCAAGGAGACATATATTTTTTAATAAACGATAGTTGCAATGAACTGTGGCTCAGAGACCTTCTTGAAGCAGCCGAGTGGTGTGGTGGGGGGGGCCTCAACAGTGGGGAGGATTCGATCTTTGCCTTGAGACAAAAGGCCCTCTCAGGAGGACAGTCCTTGGGATGGGTGGGTGTGGCTCCTGGGTGGTCACAGGTCCTTTGTGAAAGTGCTATGTTCAGTCTTCTAGCCTGGCCCAGAAAAGCATCAGCTTTTGAGGGGTCCACTTTCTTGGCGGTGAAATATGGCATTTTTCTAAAAGCTACACAAGGTGGGGAGATGCCTACTGCAACTAAGGTGCGTGACAGAAAAAGCAGTGATAAAAATGGTCAGCAAATTCTGCCTGCCAGCTGCCAGTGATTCCAAGAATGAGGATGTAATGGGCCCAGGTCGAAGATGGCAGCCACATCCCTGCTGCCTTCCAGAAGAGCAGAGGTGCTTGGAAGGTATTTCTGACATGGCTGATGCCACTGCAGCTTGTATGGAGTGCTGCCATAATTACGGCCAAGAGCCATGACTGAATGAATGAGCACCCAGAAGTATGTGGGTCAAGCTCCAGGGAGGACAGTTGCTCTCAGTTGTTTGTGGCACTTTGTGGTGTATGACAGTGACAGTGAACCTATGGCACACGTGCTGCAGTGAGCTTTTTGTATCATGGAAAGCTCTAAAAGATTCACCAGCACTGGGGTATGGGCTCCTACTTTCCCACATTCTCTCTGCTAGAAAGCAGCCCCACAGAAAGGAGGCTCCAAGAGTCCTCTAGGAGTTGTAAGGAAATTTAGCTCCAAATGCAAGGGGAACAAAGATCTTGCCTATAATCACACTGTACTGATACTATCTTCACAGCTGATATCCTTAGAGGAAGTACCGGTGAAGAAAAGCTCGCTCCAGCATGAGAGGCTGAGCAGCTTGGACACACCGAAGGGAGGCCCACCAGTCAGGGACCTGTCTTCATCAGGAGCTAACATGGGTCCCCTTTCAGTTCTACTGCTGATGCTACAGCTGATCTGTATCTTCGCTTCAAATCAGAAGAACCTCATGCAGTGATTCCCATGATTAAATAAAACTTTATTCAAACAAATGACCACCTTTATCTTAGGTTGAAAGTATTTTCCTAGAAATTAGCTAATGAAAGCAAAAATCTTTGTCTGAAGCCAGTGTGGATGTTGAAGGGCTCAAAAATGAAGCTAATAAGGACGCAGAAAAAAGTAGGGATTGAGATGCAGGATTGGGAGAAGCTGAGCAAAAACAAGATGGGATTGAGAAGGGCCTCTGGGCTTGAGCAGAAAGATCACTAGTAAAGGCCACCAGAACACTTTCTGCAGGGACAATACCTGCCTGACGCCAACCACAGAAGCCATGGTATCAGAGAGCCTGTAGCAGGCAGGAAGAACAGGTGTTCAGACCACTGCTTTCTCAAGTCAGTTGACTTGCTGAAGTCCAAAGCAAGCCTGGGAGCCAACTGTTGGGCTTCGATGGGGCTGTGGCCATCATCCAGTCTCACTATTCCCAAGTTTTGCCTTTTATTGTGTTGAGGATTTCATGGTCTCCGTTCCATTGAACTTTTTGCCCATTTAGTCATTTCCTTGGCATCTCTAGGACATTTTCTTATCATTACAAATAACTGTCTGAAGCTCAACTTCCAATTTCCTCAAAAGCTTCTTTTTTGCCCCTTCACTTATGGTAGAACTGGCTCTGCACACCTCAGTTCCTCCTCATTAAACAGGGTGTTAATCCCTGTTTATTGAAAAAAGCCAGCACTTCAGCAACGAAGCCCAAACTAGATGTTATCTGCAGAGCTGGTCCAAACCGTTATGCTCCGGGCGATGCACACCGGGACATTTTTCCACATTCTGTTGAATGAATTGACTGCACACTTCTTCCCAGGCAGGCTAACCACAAGTTGCTACCACGTCTGAGAAGTGTCAAGTGGGTTGCTTGAAGAATATGGCAAGAGGATGCCCTGACTGGCCTTGCTATCACCTGAGGGGGCCTCTCAGCCACCCTTGGGAACAGCTGACCAGTGGTCCCCCTGTTCCCTACAGAGAAAGTCCAGGCTCCTTGGCATGGCCCTTCTTGCAGGCTCTGGTTCCCCCCCCCCACTTCAATCTTCTGCCCTCAGCCCCTCTGTAGGAGCCATCTAAATTTTGTGAATGCACTGCAACCCTTGAGCTGTGGCTCCTCCTTTTCAGTCCATAGGTGCCCTCACTGTAGCCTCATCTTGCTTAACTGGAAGACTCAATACCTTTTCTGAACCACCTCGCCTCCCCCTCCTGCACCAGAGGCAGAATTGACCTTCCTTCCTTTGTATTCCTTTGACATCACTATCAGCTCACTTTCATTTCCTGCTTGCCATGTGCTAGGCACTACACTAATAGCTCTATGGGGTAGGTGCCCTTATTGTCCCTGTTTACCAGATAAGGAACCTGAGGCACAGGCTTGTCACATGTGATTGAAAAGTATGATGACTGTTCAATTCATTACAGTAAAACACACATTGCCATTAATCCCCCTCAGAATGCTCCCTCTCACTTTGAACATATCCCACCCTTGTCACTTTCTGAAGCAGTTCTGGAAGTGCCCTTTCATGAGGCCTTTGGCTGTGCTGTTGCGGCTGCCTTGATGTCCTGATTGATTAAAGATGTTTAACTTTTATGGTCATTTTAACGTTGGGGAAGAGCCAGATTCAGTGAATAAGGTGGATGAAGACATTATGAGCCCGCCTTTCCATTGGATGGCGCTCAGTGGCGGCATTCACCACATTTTTGATCATAGCTCAGATACAAAGGAGAACTTTCAGAACTGCTTCAAAAAGTGGCAAGAATGATGGGATAAGTGTGTTTGTGGGGAGGGTGAGTTTTCTGCAGGGATTAATGACAATATCTTTCACTGTAAAATTTTATTTAAATATTCACGGTATATCTTGATCATTCCGTGTAAGTTACAGAATTGTCTGGCTGCAGCTTGCGGTGCACCCCTAGTCTGTCAGTTTGCCATACTTACAACACTGTCCTACCCTCATCTCTACTCCTGTCTCCCTCTCTAGCCTCCTCTTTCTTTTTTGTTTTTGGTACTTGGGCCTGAACTCAGGCTCTTGGGATTGAACGTGCACCGAGCTAGATCTCCATCTCTTTTTATTTTTCATTTCGAGATGGTCTTGCCAAGTCACTATGTTGCCTGGTTTGAGGTTGACCTTGGGATCCCCTTGCCTAGCTTCCCAGAGTGCTGGGACTATACGCATATGCCACAGGCCTGGTTTAGCCTCCATTTCGAGAGCAAACTTTCGATCAGTGGTGGCAAATGATGTCACATGTGCCACAGTTGGCTGTTTGTCATTAAAAGCTCTCTGAGGTTTGCCTTCACTGCGATCTTACCCGCAAATCCTCAGCAGCTAGTGCACTGTCCACCATAGGGCAGGTTCTTGGGAAAGAAGAGCTGCACTAGGATTGGCTAGGCCCTGAGGGACGTGATCGGACTACATCCAAGCCTGTGGGGAGCATGAATTGATTTATTTCCATGGCTCTTTACACCTTCCACTGGGGTCTTGGCTCCAGCCTGCGCGGCCTCTTTTTCAACATGCTGTCATTCAGTTCTATTCTTTTCTTTTCCCTCTGCTTTCTTCTCACTTACCCAGAGTTGAATTGTTCACCTATCCCAAGCTCCATACTGACCCGTGTTCCACACAAATCTCAGCAGAAATTTACCCAGCATTAAAAGCCCTCAAGGGATACGAAGATGCTAAGTCCCTGTTCTCCCAGTCCCTGTCTACAGGCTCCTTCAGTCTGCAGCTCTGACTTTGCCCTCTCGAAGTTCCATTGTTCCGTGTCCAAAATGTTGATTATTCACACCTTCGGTGTAGTCCATTGTTGTCATTGTCATGGCCCTTATCCTTGTAATCAGAGCTCCTGTTTGGGGAGCACTTACTGTGCTTGGTGCTGGAAGGACATGGACAAAACAAATACAGTTCCGTTCCCAAGGAGCTTATAATGTAGAAAGGGAGTGTCAAGGAAGTAAATGAGTACAGAGCAACACATTAGGGCAAAGGGGATCAAGGAAATGCACAGGATGCACTGACAGAGGCCACAGTGTGTGTGTGTGGGGGGTCTGCTTAGAAAAGACACCTGGGGAAGGCTTCTCTGAAGAGGTGACATTCAGGTTTGACCTGCAGTATCAGCAGAATGGGAGGGCAGCTAAAGTAGGCTGTGGGGAGGGAAGGATTGATTTCACACCCTGGCCCTAAGCTGCTTTTGCCAGTTACCTCCTGCTATTTCTCACCAAACCAATGCAGAGTCCCCACCTCTTTCCTTTGGAGTAAGCTCTGTCTGGAGTGTTTCCAGGCCCCATCTCTCATAACGAAGCCCTGCAAGCTCCAGCTCAAATGTCACCTATTACGATGACATTGCTGATCACTCCAGAGGTGCTCCCCCCTGCTGCTCTCACATTACCCTAGCTTCACTGAACCTACTCTGTCCCTCCTTACTTAGTAGCTGTTTGGTCTTTTTCAGCTAAACAAAAAACAAGTAGGCTGGGATTACATCTGCCCTGCCTTTCTGCCTCTCAGAGCGGGTGATGATGGCCTTGCACATGACAGATGTTCAATAGACAGTTGCCTAGCTTCCCCTTTCTGGGCCTCACTGTCTTCCTTGAAAACATGAGGAAATTGGACAGATTTCAAGGGTCTCTTCTTAGCTCTCACATTTATAGAGGATGATAAAATAGTAAATTTCCAAAGGGCATGAATTATGCTGAATCCCTTGAAAAAAGAAAGTCCGTGCCTTTCTGTGAATTTGCAGTTAAAAAAAAAAGGGAAATGACAAAAGGCTTAAATGTAGCTGCCAAGGAACACGGCACTTGAGCACATTTGGTTTATACACAAACATTACACATAGGCAGGCTCAGTGCCTGCTGTGATGGAGCAAAGGATCCCTGGGAGATGCTAGAGTAGGACCAGGAGAAATTGCCTTTTCCCAGTTGGACAGTGTTCAGATCCCGAACAGCCTAAGGAAATAGAAAACTTTTCTGAGCCTGCCAGGCATAGTCTCTGGCGCTAGCTGCACCATTGCCCCTGTCACTATTGCCCATTACAAAGCCACCGACTGGAAGCACAAGCAGTTTTGGAGGGACTTGGAGAAGTCGGGGGTGCTGGACAGGCTGACCAAGGTGTTGGTCGCCTTATATGAAGAACCAGAGAAACCTAATAGTGCTTTGGATTTTTTAAAGCATCACTTAGGAGCTGCTGCCCCAGAAAATCCCGAAATTGAGTTGCTTAGCCTAGAATTGGCAGAAGTGAAAGAGAAATATGAAGCCACTGAAGAAGAAAATAAAAAACTGAAAGCAGAGCTTGCTCAGTATGAACCACCTCAGGAGGGAAAGGGTGATGAACAGGGTTCTGCTCAGTTGCAAAGACACTGAAAAATGGTTCTGTATGACTGGAATAGTTTGTAGAGTATCTAATCCTTTCTGAACCGATGCTATAATTTGTTAACATGTTAAATTCACCTATCACACTTTAAATGTTATAAACACATATACTTAGAATCACCAATAACAACTCAATATAACTTTCTTTGGGTCTTAAAGTAGGAGAATCCAAAGTAAATCCTGAAGGGAACCTAAACAGCCATCTAATTCATTAAAAGATGTTCTATTTATTAGTCTGATTAGGAGTAACAGCACTGGTTGTATTTAACCCAAGGAGGTTTAGCATGGAGCTGCTCCTTGGTTTAGTTGAGTATACGAGCACAGGTACAATCATGCTTCACAATGACGATGAGTGTTTATGTTCCCTGTAGGCAACTGGAGCAATCTGTGTGACACACGATGCTTTTGCACGGGCTCCCAGGAATTTGCTGCTCTTGCTTATATAATGCAGAACAAGTAGCTCTTCTTTGCCACCACTATGCCTTAGATAACTACTCCTGTGCCACTTTGAACTCTGACACCACTTTTTTCTTCTATGCAATCAGGCCCTATCTGATGATGTTGCCTTGCTTTGCTATGTACTTTGGTGGGTCCTAATTGCTCATTAGCCTTTGTGTTTTGTTCATTTTGCTTAATAATGCAGATTCCCTGATTGTAATTTATGTAACTTTAAACAGGATCACACTGTTACCCTGCCTTACCTAGTTGCTTAGTACAGACAGAGGTAATATAACGTTCTGGGTTCATGCGCAAGCTGGGATGAAAAGGGGATGAGCATTTATCAAGGACAATTATAGTTTATGGGTATAATCATATAGTGCTTTTCCCCCGTCAAAGTATTTTTCTAGCCTTGAATTCATTTTATGTTCATTATCCCTGTGAAGTAGGTGGAGAATATATAAGGGGAGACTGGATTCTGAGTTTTTGGGCCAAAGACCGATATTCATACAAATTATTTACTAACTGTAGAACTTTGGGCACATCGGTTAACCGCTCTGAGATTTATTTTCCTCATCTGTTAAACAAGAAGAACATCTGTGCTGCCTACCTCACAGGGTTGTTGTGAGGGTCAAATGGGAATGTATCTGAAAGATGTGTAAACGGTAAAGCACTATAGTCTTGTTAAAACAAACAAAACAAAGAAATAGAAAACTCGGAGATAAAATCACTTTTTTCAGTTGGATCAAGAAATGTTGCTGGGGAAATACAGGAACAGAGGGGCCAAAAGTAGCCCTAGAGGCTGTGGTAGGAGGTTGAGTTAACCACCTAGCCCGCACAGCGACTATTGAGATGATGGAAGGGTGGCATGCATGGGCAGCCCCAGGGGAGACTAAACCAGGCCCTTCCATCAGTGGACAACTGATTGTGCTGCACTGTGCGCCGGCTTGGTGCTCTCACGCTCCTCCTTATATTTTCCTTGATCTGGCTTTTGCTCTCACTGCTCACAGGAATTGTACCCTCAAAAGTGACTTGCAAGTCACTTGTTCTACTGTCACAGGCCCCATTCTCATCAGCCGTCCTGATAGCTGACACTATTAATCATTCTTTCCTTCTTGAACCTTTTTCCTTGGCCTCGCTGACACTCCTTTTTTGGTTTTCCTACATCTCCTTCTCCTTTACAAAAAACACATATTTTTATTAGTACCTGTTTGCAGTACACAATGATTACCTTCCTCATGGGGAGTCGGCACATGCCCTTCCTCTCCTTTCCACCCTCCTCCTTCCATCTCTTGGTCCCTTCCCTTTTACAAACGATCTGCCCATTTCCTATTATCTATCTTTTATTTTGCTCTTTATTTATATGTGGGTTTTTCACATAAAAGAAACTATGCAATATTTAAGCTTGTGTGTCTTGATTTCTTCACTTATTATGGATTCAGGGTGCATCCATTTTGCTACAAATGAATCAAATGTACCCTTCTTTTTTCCCTCATTGAGTTTATCAGTACATTTTAGGGATACAGTACAGTTACATTCATTGTTGGGATCTTGTACCTTTACATGACAGGTCTTGGTTCTCATTTTTTCCCCTTGTCCCTGCCCTCCCTTCACCCCCTCCTCCCCTCCCCATTTACAAACACTTATTTCCATTTTTTCAGTTTCTCATATTTTTTCCTCTCCCTTATTACCTTTCCCCTACCCTTCCCACTTCCACTACACCTTTAGCCCTTTTCTTCCTATTTCACATTGTCAGTTATCTCATTAGGATCTTTTGTACTATTATAGTTTTTCACACCAGAGAAACTATTCAATATTTACACATGTGTGACGTATGTATTTTACTTAGGAGTATATCCTCAATATGTATCTATTTAGCTATAAATATTTCTAGTTTCTCATTCTTTATGGCTGAGTAATATTCCATTTTATAGAAAAACCACATCTCCTTTATCCAGTCTCCAACTGATGGGCAAATGGGCTGTTTCCAAGTTTTAGCTATTACAAACTGTGCCGCTATAAACATAGATGCGCATATATCTCTGTGATATGATTCTTTTAATTCTTTTGGAAAGATACACAGCAGAGGGATGGCTGGGTCAAATCAAATGTATCCTTTATGGTAGAGTAGTACTCTATTTTGTATAAATACCAAATTTTCTTTATCCATTCATCTGTTATGGCTATATAGACTGCTTCCAAGATTTAGCTGAGTTGTTCTGCTATAAACATGAATATGTCTTTAACTTTTGGGAAGACACCTAGAAGGGGAATAGCTGAGTCAAATAGAATTTTTATTTTTAGTTTTTTGAGGAATCTCCATACTGATTTCCAAAGTGTTTTTATGAGGTTACATTCCTACCCACAATGTAGAAGCGTTTCTTTTCCCCCTACTACAGCCTTGCCAGCATTTATTATGGTATAATTTCACGATGATAGCCAGTCTTTCTGCAATAAGATGGAATCTTATTACTGTTACAATTTGCATTTCTCTAATGGCCAGAGATGTTGAACATTTTTAGTGTATCGGTCAATCATACTTCTTCTGAGAAGTGTGTACTTATTTTTCTCTGCCTCTTGCACTTTCTTCTTTTTTCTTCCCCCTTAAATGTTGGTAATGCTGATCTTGGCTCTCTTCTTTTTCCACATTGAATTCATTGGTGATTTTCTGACTTTAGCATTCATACAACTCCCCAAACCTTCACCCACCCAGACTTGAAAACCTTGAAGTGCCTCTGATTGTGTCCTTGCAACAGTCCCTGCTCCCACTTCCACTGTTTTCATTGCCATTGTCCCAATTTAATTCTTTAATTTTTTTCATTTGTTCCACAAATACAGAAGTATGTGTCAGGCCTTAGGGATACAACAGTGAGCAAATGAATATGCTCCCTGTCCTAATAGAGCTTACTCTCTCAGAAGTAATCAGACACTAAACAGTCACACAAATATATACTTACTAACAGCTAGGTTAGTCTAATGAAAAGTGTGGGGCTTTATCAAAGGGTGAAATAGAGAAATTACAGTCGCCTCCAAATTAGTCTTCCTTCCTCCACACCTCTACACTCTACTTTCTCCAGTCCAATTTACCCACTTTGGCCCAAATTCATATTCCCAAGGTCCATTTTTGACCCTGCCACTTCCTAGCACAAATGTCTTCAATGGTTAAGCTGGGAATGAGGACATGAGCCTGTAGTCCAAGTTAGCAGGGAGGCTGAGGTATGAGGGTAGCTTGAGTCCAGGAGTTCAAGGCCAGCCTGGGCAACATAGTGAGACCTGGGCTCAAACCAAAACAAAACAAAAAACAAGCATCACTTTGATGGATGATGCAATACCAATATGGTCCAAGCTCCTCAGCCAGAGTGAAGATCCTCCAACCTACCTTTTAAATCTTTCCCCCACTAATCCTCTTTAAGCAGTTTATGCTGCCAAATATACCATCCCTCACTCAGACACCACCAAACTGTTTCTTTTGCTTAGAAGACCCTTCCCCTCATTCTTTATGTACAAGTCATATATATCATTAAAACCTAGCTCAATTTCTGTACAAAGCATTTCCTGATCTCTCTCAAATTTTCTTCTTGCTATCATAGCACTCATCATCTATCTTTAATGTTTCAGTTGCTCTAATACAATGAATGTGAGCCCAGCTTCTTTCCCTATCAGACCATAAGCTCATGGAGGGCTGCATCAGGTCTAAACCACAGTCATTCATTGCTTAGATAGGCAGATGAATGAATGAGCAAAAAAATGAGTGAATGAATAATCATTACTGGCTTCTGACTGATGTTGTGGAAGGGGCTGTAGGTATGCAGCTATGACTGTTGTCTTTGATCGTGTATTCTCACTGCCATTTAGCAGAGAGCTGTGGGAAAACTCAAATCAAACAAATGCTGCCATTTTCACCTGCCTCCAACTCTTACTATAACAAGTTTTCCTACTCTAGGGATGAGTGGCCTTCACCAAAGGAGCCATAGAAATCTCCAAGGACTATGAAGTGTGGGCAGAAAATTCAAGGACTGGGGGAGACCAGGTGGTGTTTTCTTTTCTTCTTACAGAAGAAAACTAATACTTCAGAATAGAAAAATATATATATACAGAAGATGAAATGGCTGTCTTTAGAGATGGAATTTTAGAATAGGATTTGTTTTATCTGGAGCATCTTTTAAAATACTGGATTGCTAGGCTGTTGGCTAGGGACACAGTTCTCTATGATAACTGAGAAAAATGTGTTTACCCAGAGCTTTGCTCATCTGATAAAGAGAACTTTAAATTGAAAATGGAAGGGAAAGAAGAAAAGTGCCCTGATAATACTGAAGTCAATTGCTATGGATGATACCAGATAGAGCAGTATGCACAGCACTGTGGGAAGTAGCCATCAAGCTCAGAAGGATATATCTGGGAAAAGAGTCAGAAACAGACCTTGCAGCTTCCACTGCTTATGTATCATCACACAGCCCATGCATTAGGTTTATCCATATAAAATTGCCAATATGCAACTCCTTGATCTACAGAAATGGTAATTCCATATGGCTCAACCTAACAGTATACAGTGA